GCGAGATGGGCCAGAGACACCCTGGAGCCCTCCCACAGTCCCTCCCCAGCTGGCCAACCACCCACATCTCTCCCCGGCCCCTATCATGCACCAGTAGGGTCCTTTGACCTGGCCTGCGCCTTCTTGCAATCTGGGACCCCTTGGGGGATGTCAGAGAACCGGTTTCAGCCTGACCCCACAGGCCAGGCCAAGGGACCCCACTGGTGCACAAATTCATGCACCAGGACTCTAGAATATTATAATGTACCATGTATACATGGGTGCTTAACAAGCACTATCTGTTTGAATTTTAAGTTTAGAAAATACTGCTATTTAATGGAAACCAGTTTAAAATGGGGGCAGGGCAGAGTTTTGTTGCAACATTATCTCAGATGCGTTGACTTTTATGTATTGATCACTCTGCCTACATTTACACACTCAACAATATTTCAGCAAGCACTCAGCTACATATATTTAGAAAAGGATACTATGTACCTATTATCCCTTCAAAACATACATGAATAATCAAGTAAATGAAAATTTGCTTTCTTTATTCTCAGTATATACTGTATTGTTATTTGGGTTAAAAGCAAGCCACTGTTTGCAAGCTTGCTAAGGATTATTTTGAAATGCATCTAGTTATCCTTATAGTAGTCCCTGTAGAGGCTCCCTCTGAAATATTTTGAATTTTTCAAATATAAATAATACATTCAGACTATTTTGTTATCACTGTAAATGATTTATGACTTGCTGATAATATCATTTACTTTATTTTCCCCCTAAACTATACTTTCCACGAATTTTAAAATCTCAGTTGATGCTATAAATATAATACTGGGCTTTCAGACATGTTAAGTGTTTAAAACAATACAAATGTAGTATCTGGAAAGGAGGACAGAGTGAGGTTGGCCATGGAAGCTATTAACCATTGAGCATGTCAATTCAGATATTAGGAAATCGTTGCCACTGGTGGAGCTGACTGTAACATATCCCATCTGAGCTACTGTGCACATATCTAAGTGGGACTTGGCAGGTAGATAAAAGATTTGTTGATTTCTGTTTGGGGGATTGCTGTAGACTTGCTGCTTCAACAGGCTTTCAAATTGGGTTTGCGTCTTAGAGAACAAACTGAACCCTGAAATCCTTTCCTGGCATTGCAACCCCTCCTCCCCAAAGTGACAAGTATAATAAGCCAGTGCTAAGGAAGGCTCTTCAGTGGTTCTCAACCTTCCTAATGCTGCGACCCTTTAATACAGTTCCTCATGCTGTGATGACCCCCAACCATAAAATTATTTTCGTTGCTACTTCGTAACTGTAATTTTGCTACTGTTATGAATCGTAATGTAAATATCTGATATGCAGGATGTGTTTTCATTGTTCGCGACCCACAGGTTGAGAACCACTGCGTGGGACCAGCTGTTGCAGAAGCTCGAAGGGGAACATGCTTTAGGGGAGAAACATTGGCTGTTACTTAGTTTTGAAATACACCCGGAGTTCAATAAACAACAGTGTATATTAGTCTGAATGTGTGTACACCTATGGGAACCACAGCTGATTACCTGCTCCCAAGTGCGCTGGGCTCCGCTTTCCATTGCTTCGTCCGGTGAGAACACAGAGATCTGGAATAGTTAGGGCACTGTCTGCCTTAGGTGATGTGTGATCTGTCAGCTGAGAAACTGCTGTTTGCCGAGGGCTGGCTAGGTGTCTGAAATACTGCTTCGATTATTGTAAATAGCGTACATATCCTGCATCAAGGAGCATTTGACTTTTGGGGGGTGGGATTTTCTACCTGGAGGACCAAGATTGGAACCGTGGTAAAATATGTTTTTAACTTACCTATTGAAGAGATCTAAAAAACATGTTAAGGCACAAGGAAATATGAAACAGACTAATTCAGTAGAATCTCAGAATTGGAATGTTTTATAATCCATCTTCCTCATTTTAGGGAGGAGGCTACTCAGGTACCTAGATACCAGAAACTGTCGTTCTTACACTATGGTCAGTCAGTGTGCCTTTCCCTCTCTCACTCAGAATTAGTGTAGGGACACTCGGTAACAGGGCTGACCCAGGATCCAATGAGAGACCAGGGTGGCTTGGAAATCAGAAAGCAGGCGCGGGGACCATCCACCCGGGGCCAGTGCGATCTTGGACTTAACACCGTGTGTGACCTTTGTGCTTAGACTTCCCTCAAGCAGTCTTCACTGTGTCCGGTGCTCAAATTCTTGATACATTTTTTAGAGAGTGGAAGGATTCATAACATCATTCTTGAGAAAAATACCACTTACCAGCTATTAGCTAAGCTTCTTATATGGAGGCTACCCAATTAGGCTCCGAGGCATCAGTGGCCGTCTGCACAGCCTGTGAGGGCTACAACCCCACCAATCCACTTGCTGTGTCCCTGGAAAACCTCCCCCTGCTTCCGATCCATTTCCAGACAGTTTCAGGGAGTATCAGAGACCTCCCCGTGGGCCATGTCATATACAGCAAGCTTTTACAGGAAGCCATCTCTCTCTCTCTCCCTGTCTGGGCTTCCCACTAATCACTGACCCAATGGTGGGCTCAAGTGAGGGATGATAAAAATCTGCCTGTTTGCATCTAATTCTTCTCAGTTCCCAGTTTCTTAAAGCCAATGTTGTTTTTCTTATGTGAAACCCAGAGAGTGACTTTTAAAACTCTCCTTCCTTGCAGCACATCTGTGGGAAAGGACTGACACTCTGTAAACTCCGAACAGGATTTAAACGTTTCATTTAATGCATTTGTTAGGATCAGGGAAAAAGAGAGCCCAAAGCAGAGAGAGACAGGGAGTGGTGTGGGGCCTCGGAAAGTGGTTGCTGTGTGGCCACAGGGAATAGGGGGTGTAAAAAGCTTCTTGTACTCATTGCCTCATCTATAAAAACCAGAGCCGCTTGGCATCTCTCTAAGTAGCAAATGGATCAAGGAGCTGTAGAGAAGAGTTGTTGGCAGGAAATGGTCCCCAGAGCTATGATATTTTCAGCCTCTGTGCATTTCCCTATAATGCATAGACCATGGATCACAGAGCTCAGTTCACGCATCTTTGCTACCTGAGGACTAAATGTTGCAGCTTCTGGTTTGTCTGACAACCACACTTTCTCGGAGCAGGAGAATTAAGAGGCTTTGTTGAAATAAAAAGAAACTGAATTTTGCTTTTGAGGTGCAGCAGAGAGGAAAGCGGGGTGAAGAAGTATTTAGAGGAACAAGGATGGAGGAGATGGTAGTGACAGAAGCAGAGATAGCAGCAGTAGAGAAGAGAATATAGGGAACTTGGGCAGGCTCTCTCTCTCAACTTTTAAGACTTCGGCTTTAAATAGAAATCTCTGTGTTCTAGAAACAAGTAATAACTGGCCTGGAGGTGTGAAACCTTTCTTGTGTCTGAAACTTGCTATATACACATGTACGTCCCACATAGCAGAAACGCAAGATTCCTAGCTGGTTGGCTTTTTATCCCAAATGGATTTCCACACAACACTGAATTCGCTTGGGGGTTAATATTTGTGAGGGAAACGGGCCCTCAGCAGATTTTGCAGCCACAGGAACTCTGAGTTTAATTTAAATGCCAGGTTACTAGTAGTCCCAGAGTGAACTGGTTGTTCTGCTGTGTTTCTCCCTTTGAAACATGGAGGCAGCAGGTTAACTGGGTGCCACAGAGATTCTCCACAAAATAAAAAACCTCCATTTCCTGTCCTAAACATCTGCGGAAGTATACTGCCCTCCATGACTCGCCCTTGACTACACGTTGACCCTGCTCCTCTCCCCAGATTCAAAACAAACAAACAAGCAAACACAAAAGGCAAGCCAACCCTTACTGCTGAAGACAATAGACAAAACATCAAAATCCTTTTCAAGCCCGATGCTATTTAGCATTCAAAAATTATTCTAGGTCATAATGCCTGGCAAGATTTACTTTGAGAGTGAAATAGACACTGAATAGTGGGCAGGATGTTAAAGGACATTCAAATCTCTGGATCCCAACCCTTTGAGTCACTGACACTGTTTTCACCAGTTGTGCTTCTTCCCAAGTAAAAGGGGCACTGGATTGTTATTGAAATTTTAGTCTTCTCTCCGCTTCTGTGAAGTTTTACTTGCTATAGCATAGCAGAGGATCCTAACCCGGACATAAAAGTAAACTGCTCAAAACCTCTTGCAAAGTTCAAGCTTGAAGCTATTGCCTCCTCTGGATGATTTTCACATTCACGGTTTTCTCTATTCTCCAAAACTGTTCCATTTCTGTGCCCTAATTGTGCCCAAGACCATCTGTAGCTCCACTCGGACCCGCTTTCTCAGCTTGGGTTGTGACCCTCAGCTCTGACATTCAGGACCTGGCTAACCCCCCTTGGACTGTTCTGCCTGGCTGGGCCTGATGACTCTAAATTCAAGAGAAGGCAGGGTCTCTTTTTAAATCTCATCCTTTCTCTAGAAAACGTTTAATTTGGCAAAGACAATGCATCCCATGTTTTTGTAACAACGGCTTACCCCTGGGAGAATTAACGTCACTATGTACTTTTTAGCAGCTACTGTTCCTCACATTTAAATAATTTATTAAATTTTTTTTGAGCAGCATCCTGATGCCTTCTTGATGATATTGGTTGCTCAGGGGAAAGATGCCCTCCCTGAAGGCTGGCCAAGCCCTCTCTTCCTTTCATTAGCAGAGTAACCCTGTGTACCCGCCCGCCTGAGCCTGCAGGGAAGGGTAATGTTCCCACTGGGCCCTCCTGTCCTCTCGCCTGGCTGAAGAGCTGAGGCTAAATGAAATATAAAATATTAACTGTCCGAGAAAACAGAGGGTGCTCCTCCTGGGCCTGAGGTTTGGCCACGGCTCACTGGGCTCAGGCCTCTCTCTCTGGTCCCCACCTCCACCCTCCGTGGGAACCACGAGTGGAATCACAGCTCTCCAAAGCGAATTCTCTGGACCGGCCACCAGACTCCTTGCCCCGTTCCCTTCTGCAGGGAGCGCACAATGACCACCAAGAGGCCAGAAAAAAACCACTTAAATATTGCATTTATTAAGGAAATGTTAAACACGAAAAAAAGAGTCAAAACGATGTCACGAATGTCAAGAGCACTTTTGTGGCATAAATCGTGCAGTCACGAGCTACAGACACAGTTCTACTTCGGGTCTTTGCCGGGCCAGCTGGGGCGCCAGCCCCGCTCTCCAAAGACCCAGTTGTGAATGAAATAAAAGAAACAACTCACCCCGTTCACATTCGCAGGCTCCCCCTCCCCCACCCTTTTCCCCACGATGATAAAACCCTAACTCCCGGGCAGGCAAACAGGTCACTAGGGCAGAAAAAGAGTTATCAAATATTTATAGTCAAGCAAACACAAAAACCCCGTAAAACGTAAAACGGCACGTTGCAATCAAGCAAAGGTATTCATCGCCTGTCCCGCCAGGGCTGGGAGGACCCGGAGAGAACGGGCGCCAATCCGGACACGGATTTGAGCCCCCATTAGTTTTGTGCCCGTGGCGTATGCACGGATCGCTTTCCAGGCCATGGGGCATCCAGTGCTGGTGGGTCTCTCCCCTGCCCGCCCTCTCCACCTGCCCCCAGAGCTTGGCCCACCTGCGGGTGGAGAAGGGCCTTTGCCCCGTCGGTTTTCCCGCATCCCAAGCAGCTTTCAAAGTTTGTGCCCTGATCTCCCTCTTCTTGCCACTTGCTGCTCAGTCCAGAGTCAGGGCGCTCTCCTCCTCCAGCCAGGCCTGGGGACTTTCCAAGAGCGAGCGAGAAACAGGTCGCTTCATCCCGAAAGGCAGGAGTCGGGAGAAATCATTGACTCCGACAGGTTTGCTTCGCCCGGTCTGGGATGGTGAGGGGGCGCGGCCGGGCTGGCGAGGTGGGGAGGTGTGGGGCGGCCGCTGCGGGGCCGGAGGGCCGGTCAGTAGGGCCCCACGACCACCGCCTCCACCTCCTTAGACGGTCTCCGGTCTTTCACCAGGAAGTTGATCATGCCCTCGGACTTGATGAGGAGGTTGCAGCCGAGGAAGAAGATGCCGAAGACCACGGTGAGCGAGAGCACGCACATGACGGCGATCTGCACCACGCGCATGATGTACAGGCTGCGCTCGTCGGGGCCGCCCTCGGCGAAGCCGTCGTCGGTCACCACGGACGCCTGGGTGCAGCAGCGCATCGCGCGCTCCAGCGCCTCGCTGCTGTTGGCCAAGAACAGGCCGGCCACATCCGTCTGGTTGCCCAGCGCGGGATTCATCGCCGGGGCGGGAGGGCGCCTGGGAGGCGCGGGTCCGAGGGGTGGGGAA